CCCTGATGCTTTTGCTAAGCTTGTTCTAAGTAGGTGCTCTAGACCACTGAGCCATCTCTCCAGCCCCTCAAATAGTCTTGATTGCTTTATCACATCACTTACTCTTTCCTAAGTCCCAAAAGAAAGAAGCTAACTTTAGAACTTAGTGATAAAGAAAAAGCAAAACTATGGTTTTCTCCTCTGATGAACTGATTCCTTTCAGATGACAAAAATCTGTTCAGCATGTCCTGTGCTATTTTGCCCTAAAATCCAGAAAACTTAGAACTAAATTTCAAATTCAGTTATGATCATGTTTAACTTCAAGATAATTATAATTATGTTAAGTTTTGTTAAGATTTTTTGGACCTCATTTTTTTTTTATTGTTTTGTTTTGTTTTTTGAGACAAGGTCCCACTATGTAGTTTAGGCTGGCCTTGAACTCACTGTGTATCCCAGGGTGGTCTGGAGTTCCTTGCCATCCTACTGCACGTGGGATTACAGTCATAAACTACCTTGCCCAGGTTGCATCTAACATTTAGTTTCTAGTCTTATACCTTATTGTAAACCTCCTTTAGAGTCCTTGGGAAAACAAATGGGCTAAAAATAAACAACATGGGCTGGCCAAGTGGTACAGTGTGTGCACAAGGCTCTGGTTTACATTCCAAGATTTGAAAGAAAAAAAAAAAAAAAAGATAAATGCACAAATACATGACTTGTCATGATCGTTGAAGAATTTGGAGAACTGAAGAAGATCCAGGAAAAAAGTAACAAAAGAAAAAGAATAGGAGGAGGGGACTGGAAATAGAGGGAGATTGCATCCCTATCTTCTCTAACTCAGATATTGGGCACAGTGCTCGCACATATGGCTTAGTAAAAGAGGGTACTCTATCTGAAATTTAAACTGTTCTGGACTATATCACAAAGAGATGTTGGAGATGGATCCCCGGAGACTCGATCAATATTTTATATGAAGTTACAAAAAAGCTTTAACTTTTTTTGGAACCCAGATCCATCTGATGATCTATTGAACGCGCTGGAACTGGGCTTTCCTCCAGGTGGCAGAAAAATACAAGGGCATAGTTTTTAAAAGTAGAACCTTCCTGCGTTCTACCCATTCTTCCAACTCCAGGTGGCACTACTGTAGAATTCAGACAGTCCTGAGGAAGAATTTGCCTGAGTTGCGAAGTCAAACCGGGAGACTAACATATCAGCTATTTGGGGAATTTCCGGAACCACTCTTGGATGGTTTAAGTCACCAGGTTATTTTCTGTTTGTCTTAACCTCTTTTTATATAACAAATCTATCTTAAGGCGTGGCTTATCTATACATCCACAAATACACCTCTCCACAATTTTTGCCCATAATTTCATGGTGGTCTTACTGATACCTATTCTCAGGTAACCATTTATGCTTAAATGCAGATTTCCCTGGACCCAGAGGAATGCCAGTGATGACCTCTGAGAATCGCCCTTTTATCTTATGGCCAAGAGTCTCCCAGAACCAAGTTACAGAGCCAGGAGTCCCCTGACTCTCGTGGGCTACCCCAAGCCTTCCAAGGCCTCCCCTCCCCCACGCCCGCGCAGCGCAGGTGCGAAAACCTAAGGGGCCGCCCGCGTGAGCCTGCCGGGAGTGGGGGATGGGACACGGGGAGGGGCGGAGGCGAGGGTGGGGGCCCTCCTAAGGTTGCCTGGCGACCACGTTCTCCGCCCAGATCGTTCCACTTCCTCAGCAGGGGTGCTGCGGACGGGGCGGTGGAGGACAGACCTCCCAGAGCGGCGCTCTTCCGGTTCCCCCCCCCCGCCGGGCGGTGGCTGATGCCCGTGACGTCACAGGAGGCGGAGTTAGCGTCCCTGCCGGGTGCTGGAGGCGCCATTGGACCCGGCTTGGCTGGTGAGCCGGGCTGAGGAGCCGGAGCTTGGGCCGCAGTTGTCTCCGCATCAGCTCCTGGTCTCTGGTTCCTCAGCGACATGGCGTGCGGGGCGACACTGAAGCGGCCCATGGAGTTTGAAGCGGCGCTGCTGAGCCCCGGCTCCCCGAAGCGACGGCGCTGCGCCCCTTTGCCCGGCCCCACTCCGGGCCTCAGGCTCCCGGACGCTGAGCCGCCACCTCTTCAGACGCAGACCCCGCCGCCGACTCTACAGCAGCCCGCCCCGCCCGGCAGCGAGCGGCGCCTTCCAACTCCGGGTAACCTGCGCTGCAGCGGGCTTGGCAGGAAGCCCGGCTGAGGCATTGAGGGTGGGGGTGGAAGAGGGTCGTGAACGCCGAGCGATTGCACCCAGGGGCCACTTTTTTGCCTTGAGAAAAAGGAACTGGGGTGCCGCTGGGCCTGGTTGCTTCCGGAGATGGGAGACATCCGGGAAAGGGTAGTGGCCTCACTCTGTCAGTTTTCGATTTTCCTGAAGCTGGAGAGCCGGGATGGGGTGGGCGCCAAGAAAAAAGTGAATACCCAGGGCCTCTCGGGGCTTATACAGTCCCTGAAGCCCCTCCTGCTTCGGCTGCACTGGCTGCCTTGCACATCCATTGGGCCATGGAAAATTGGATTCTGCTCACGAACCCGGCCTTGAGGGGGGCGGGTGACTGAGAAAGGGCGTGAGTGTATGCCGCTCTACAAGGTAGCTAGTAGGAAGACGACCTGATTTCCAGATGTCTTCAGGGACCAAACACCGATGCAAAAAAAATCATAGAATCCGATTTCAGCCTGACCATTTCTACAAGGCATTGGCCATATTTTATTGTATGGCTATTGTCTTGTACCATATAAGGCTTGAAGTCTGTAGATCGTTAGCTGGAATTTTAAATTCCTTCAACATACAGAGGTTCTGGTAGCAGGAATTCAACTATCTGTAATACAGGCAGTGTTCTTCGATAAGGCATTCCACTTCGGCCAAGAAAAGGGCTGGTATGACAGTAGATAGCTATCATATTGCACTAGTGGAGGGGGAAGTGCATTAGCATTAATATTCGCCAGTTTTGAAGGGCTCCCAGAAATGAGAGGCTCTCAAAAATGAATTTTGGCGAGTCATTTCTTTTGTGTTTGCTATTTCTTAAGCAAACTGAAATCCCTTTAGAATAAATTTTTTTCCCCTCACCTCTTTTTCAACTCCCAGTGCCTTGCTTTATTTTCTCCTTCCTCTTCATATTCCTAATGCAGATTTCAGGCTCCAGTTCTCACTCCAAGATTCCTGTAACCAGGCAGTATCCTGAACTTTATTCTTGTGTTCTCATCTTTATCTTGTAATTTTTTTTTCTTTTTTCTTTTTCTTTTCTTTTTTTTTTTTTTTTTTTAGACAGGAGTCTCACTATGCAGTTCAGGCTGGCCTGGACAACTCACTACATAACCCAGGCTGGCCTTACATTTGTGGTGATTCTCCTGCTTCAGCCCGCTGAATGCTGGGATTACAAGCATGCGCCACCAGGCCCAGCTGTGTCCTGGAATCCAAAGAGTTTACTGGTTTTGTTTCACCTGGCTGATCTTTTATGTTTTCTCTACACTGCCTCTGTTCATTCCCTCAGACCTTCTCTTCTTTGCTAATCCCAATAAATTCATTTTTTAAATAGTCAATCCTTTACTTAACCTGTCCTATGAGGAACTTTGTTCTACTTTAAATTGCTCAGCCATTTAATGTTGTACAGCCTTGTGCAGAGCTGGAGATGTTCGAAAAGTTTCTTGTGAAGAGCCTGAAAAAGCAGAAGGCTGGCAGCTGGTTGTGGTACGCACCTGTGGTTCCAGCTGCTGGGGAGGCTGAGAAAGGATTGCTTGTCCCCAGGAATTCATTTTAGCTTGAGCAGCATAATGTGACCCCATCTTAAAAAAAAAAAAAAAAACCATAGGGATCCACTTGGAGTTATTTTTCTTCCATTGCTCCTACAGATACTTGAGGATAGTCATGTTTTTGGGTCTCACATCCACAAAAGGAACTAATACTTGCCTCATTTACTTTTTGTTGAGGATTCCTTTTTTATTATTTTTTTATACAAAGTCTCATTGTATAGTCCAGGATGACCTCAACCCACAGTGATCCTATCTAGATAGTTGCAAAAAGTATAATCAATGTTTGTTTGTTTTATGTATTTGGTACAGGGTCTCAGCCTCCCCAGCAGCTGGAAACACAGGGGTGTGCCTCGGGTGCACCCAGGGGCAGGGCCAGGACCTGGGGGCAAGTGGTGCCAGGGAGCTATCTCAAGCAATGAGTTTTATGTAAACATGTTTTTGCTTCAGTACTACTCTCTAGATGATTTTTGTTGTAGTTCACATTGCAACAATGTTTCATAAGTGATTGTTTAATATATTTGGAGGTTAAATATGGCAGCCTTTAGGGTGATTCTGTTTTTGTTTTTTTGGTACCCAGAATGTTGTGCATAACACTAACCATCTGCACTCTGCTATGGAGCTAACCCCCCAGCCAGAAACACTACTCCTCAAATGTTGGAACCTAATATTTGCGATAATTATACAAATTAGCTTGGTCATGAGAGGGATAGCAGGGGTTGAACACCAAGGCATGCTTGACAGTCGCTCCCTCAATTATTTTGTTTATATTGTGTTATTGTGCTGGGAAGAAAATCCATGCATGATAGGCAAAAGCTGTATCATTGAACTGCACTCCCAGCCCTGTGGTTTTTTTAATTGTTTATTTTGTGTGTGGCCAGCTCAGCCCACCAGGGGGCGGGGTGGGCTGGCATGTGGTGCTGGGGGATTGAACCGTGGTCCCTGTGCTTTGCTTAGCCTAGCTTGTTCTAAGTAGGTGCTTTAGACCACTGAGCCATCTCACCAGCCCAGCACTGTGTTTCTTTTCTTTCTTTCTTTCTTTCTTTCTTTCTTTCTTTCTTTCTTTCTTTCTTTATTGTGTGTGTGTGTGTGTGTGTGTGTGGCCAGCTCAGCCCACCAGGGGGTGGGGCTGGCTCGCATGTGGTGCTGGGGGATCGAACTGCAGTCCTTGTGCTTTGCCAAGCTTGTTCCAAGTAGGTGCTTTAGACCACTGAGCCATCTCACCAGCCCAGCCCTGTGTTTCTTAATGCTTACTGAAATTTGGTTCTGTTGTGAAAGAAATATCAAGTATTAATGATTGATTTTTTGATATTTGTACTTCAGCTTAAATGAAAAGTGTCTTCTGAGTTAAAAAGAATGAGGGAGGAAATGTTGTTGATACACTAAGAATAAAGTTAGCTAATGGTAAAGTGAGTATAATATAACCAGTAACTTCATTTTATAGCATGTCGTGTCAAAAGTTGTAAATTTCTCAGAACTGGTTAAAAAAAAAAACTTCACTCTTAAAAAAAAATATGTGGGCTGGGGAGATGGCTCAGTGGAATAAATACTTCCCTGGCAAGCGCAAAGGGCCTGAGTTCAATCCCTGGTTCCAGGAAAAAAAAAAAGATATGTATAATAGAGCACTTTTTGTCAAATGTCCTTGTCAAATTAAGCCTTTGATTACTTAAATTTTTAATGAGTGGATATTCAGCATGGAATGAAATTGCCTTCAAGGACATTTTTATAAACATGAAGCTTAGCTGCAAAGCAATTAATTGATCATGGTTTGAGAGTTGGATTGGGGGAGCAGTTTAGCTGTGTCTTCAATAGGGTTTGAGACAATACAGCCCTATGTCTGACAAAGGGCAGAAAACCCACAAATAAAGAAAAAAATAGTGTCATGCAACTAGACTGTTTCTATACTTTTTGGTACTGGGGATCAAACTCAGAACCTTGTGCTGGCCAGGCAGGCCCTTATGATTCTGCTGATGCAGTTAGATTGTGGTGGAAAATGGAATTATTAAAATTAATTGGGGCCATTTTTTAGCAAGGCATTGATTGGATGGTGCATTTAAGAGTTTGTAGCAACCCAGGGACCACACCTAGGTTGCTAAAAGAAAATGCTGGGAACCTGTAGAATTTTATGGGTGAGCCTAGCCTGCTGGAATTTGGAAGAATAATCTTAAATAATAAGATATAAGGATTTGGGCCAGCCAAATAGCTCAGTGGATTAAAGCTTCTGCAACCAGCCTCATGCCCCGCCCCCAGCTCTTGGGAGGCTGTAAACAGGCTCATGAGGAGTCCAATCCAGTAGTGAGACCCTGAACATCCTGTAGACCCTTCCCTAAAATAAAAATTAAAAAAAGTATAAGGATTTAATTTTTATCCACTGTTAAAAATAAATTTACGGGCTGGTGAGATGGCTCAGTGGTCTAAAGCACCTACTTAGAACAAGCTTAGCAAAGCACGGGGACCACGGTTCAATCCCCCAGCACCACATGCCAGCCAGCCCCGCCCCCTGGTGGGCTGAGCTGCCCCCCCCACGCACACAATAAATAAATAAATTAATTAAAAAAAATAAATTTACTACTTTTGTTTTTTTGAGATAGGGTCTTGTTATGTAGTGCAAGCTGGCCTTGAACTCACTATGTATCGTAGGCTGACCATGAATTTAGTGATCTTACCTCCTTCCCAAATTTTGCGATTACAGGAGTGCACTGTTACATCTGATTCATATTTGTTTCTTAAAAATGCTATTTTCTGGTTTTTGTGGCCTTGTTTTTCTCCTGTGGATACCATGTTTAGCTTTTTGGATTTGGTAGTCCTACTAACTTCAAAGTTACATCTTTCCATTTGTTCGTTTTGCCATACAGGAGGAGGCAGAGGTTTATCAAAGACCTTCTGTTCTCTTGAACATTGTCCTCTTACTTGTTCTTTCTTGTTTGAAGTCACTGCAATTCCTTATATCCTTGTTTGGATCTGGCAAGTTTGCACTTGAGGAATAATACATTTTTAAAATGAAGACTTCATAAATTCAAAGACCTAAAAATAGCAACTTCAAAAGCAGTCTTATAGCATTCCTAATACTACATTGTTCCACTTTCTAAGAGGAGGTTAAGGAGTTTACTTACATGTGAAGCCACTTTAAGTTCTTGGAAGATACCATCAACTCATTTTGGCATTATTAATCTTTGATTTTGATTCTCACTAAGAGGTACTTGATGTTTATATTAAAGAATTACTAAAGATCTTGAATGACTTCCCAAGGTTACTGTGACACAGCTAGTCAGAAACAAAGTGGCAGCCAGGCGTGGTGGCACCTGGGCTACAAAGTGAGCTCCAGGGCAGCCTAAATTACATATACTGAGACCCTGTCACCAGAAGACAAAAAAAAGGGCAGTAAACAGCAAAGTGGGATAGTTAACAGTTCCCATCACTAACAATATGTGGTTATACCAAAGTACTCATTAGAATAACTTGACCTAGGGGGAGAATGATGTAATTTTCTAGGTTTTGGTTTTTTATTAGGAGGCTTTATGTTATCTGGAAAGTGAGTGAGTACATCATTACACCACAAAAATGAAAAACTTGAAAACCACATCCTTCCAAATTCTTTGTTGTCTCTAGACATGTTCTTCAAGTTAGTTAGTTTTTTGTCTGAGACCGGGTCTCTCCGCTATGCTGTTCAGGCTGGCCTTGAGCTCACTTTGTAGCCCAGACTGGTCTCCAACTCGCAATGATCTTCCTGTCTTGGCCTCCCCAGTGTTGGGATTACAGGTGTGCACCACCACACCTGGCTGCAAGGTAGTTTAGTAATTGACATTTCCTGGACTACTGTTAGTAGCATTAGCAAATTTGGTATATAATTACCCGGTCTTAGTAATAACCTGATTCCAAGTACATTTTGCCTTTAGTAAGATCAGAAAAACTTGTGTAAGCCTTGCTCATCCCTTCTAAGCAGTATATTTTAGCTCCTTCCCTGGTCAGTGTCCAGGTTGTAGACATAGTAGGTTGGGGGCTTTTTGTTGTTTTATTTTTTATGTCATTTTCCTCAAAGACCTTATGAGTCCTCTGTGGAACAAACACTTCATTGTTGCCTTGGGTGATAAGGGTTTCCTCCCTTAATATTGTAGTTAAAATTTAAAAGACCACAAATAACTCCTTTTTGGGTAAAAAAATTTTTTTACTGTGAATTGTACTAACAGATCTGTCGTCATGGCTACAAGAAAATGAATTAAGGAAACTATCTGTAGCATATACCAGAAGAGCTGCTGTTTTAGGTTGTTGGGGTTTTTTTGTTTGTTTTGGTTTTGGTTTTTTTTTTTTTTTTTTTGTGAACCCAGGACCTTTGCACTGTTACATCTCAACATTTTTTCATTTTATTTTGATGGATTTTTTTTCCCCCCAGCTCAGGATGCCTTAAGGGGAGGTCTTATAAGGCAAGAGGTTCTGGGGATTGAACCACAGAATCCTGAGCCTGATTGCTTAAGCAGGCACTTCAACAACTGAGCTAGGGCTGGGGAGAGGGCTCAGTGGAATAAGTACTTCCCTGGCAATCGAAAGGACCTGAGTTCAATCCCCAGTTCTGCCAAAAAAAAAACCACCAAAAAACAAAACAAAACAAAAACTGAGCTAATGGGCAGGCCCCCCCCCCCATTTTATTTTGAGATAGGATACTGATAAATTGTTTTTGGTTTTTGTCTTTCTGAATTAGGGTTTTGCTCTGCAGTTCAGGTTTGCTTCAAACTCACTTTGTAGCCCATACTGGCTCAAACTCAAGCAGTCCTGCTTCAGTTTTCCAAGCGGTAGGATTACAGGCATGTGCCACCACACCCAGCCAGGGTACTAATAAGTTGCCCAGGCTGGGGTTGAACCTGTGATCCTTCTGCCTCATATCCTGTGGGATTATATGCATAGGCCCCCATTCCTGGCTTATGCTGTGTGCTGTTGAAACAGTGGCAGCAAGGGGCTGTAAAAAAATGTTTTATGCTAGAAGACCCTGGGATCAATCCCTGCTACCACCAAAAAAAAAAAAAAAAGTTTATTTGCTTAAATTAATAACATGAGAAGGGGAAGAGGTTGATATTTGCATACTAAAGAAATATTTGAACTCTACTGAAAAGGACTTCCTTGCCTCCCAGAAGAAAGTTTGAAAAATAATGTGAATGCTTAGATTTGTTTCTTTTTTTATTAGAGCAAATTTTTCAGAACATAAAGCAAGAATACAGTCGTTATCAGAGGTGGAGACATTTAGAAGTTGTTCTCAATCAGAGTGAAGCTTGCACTTCAGAAAGCCAGCCTCACTCCTCGCACTCACAGCACCTAGTTCTCCAGGTAAGCATGCTTTAGTGTGCAAAACCCATTTTAATTAAGTTTTTGTAAGTGATACTTATAATGATTATTTCCCAATGTAGTTGATTTCCTTTAATAAGGTTAGTAAAGTGGGTACGTTATATTACTGCTTATACATACTTTTTTATATGTATTTTTATGAATCAGTAAGACTTGATTTTAAAGATTTTTTTTTTTTTTGGCGGAACTGAGGATTGAACTCAGGCCTTTGCGCTTGCCAGGGAAGCTCTTATTCTTTTTATTTAAATTTATTTATTTAGTTAGTTAGTTTTGTGTGTGTGTGTGTGTGGCCAGCTCAGCCCACCAGGGGGCGGGACTGGCTGGCATGTGGTGCTGGGGGATTGTACTGTGGTCTGTGCTTTGCTAAGCTTGTTCTAAGTAGGTGCTTTAGACTACTGAGCCATCTCACCAACCCCGGGAAGCACTAAGCCATTCTACTAAGCCATCTCCGTGGCCCCCAAGACTTGATTTAATTGTAATTATTGTCTCTTATTTTTGTTTTTATTAGTACATTTGCAATACGTAATGATTATTTCACCAGAGTTGGTACATGTACATAATACATCTTGTTTTTACTTCCTCTTTTCTCTCCTGCCTTCCCTTTATGAGTATTTTTAAACCATAGTCATGATATTGGAAGAAATCTTAGATTAATTTATTTTAATTTCACCCACATGGTGTAAGAGCATGCTTCTGCTGTATAACTGCAATGTGTCCATTTGTCATATGTGGCTGTTTAAATTAATTAAAACTGCCTTTTGGATCTGCCATCTGTGGTAGAACCACCACCAAGATACAGATTTTTGTAAAAACCCTTTTGAGGAAGATGCTTGACATTGATACTATAGAAAATGTAAAGGCCAAGATCCAGGATAAGGAAGGAATTCCTCCTGATCAGCAGAGGCTGATCTTTGCTGGTAAGCAAGTAAGAGATGAATACACTTTGGGTTTTTTTTTATTTTATTTTTTTTATTTTTTTAGAGAATAGCTAGTTGTATTGGGGGGGGTGGCCAGCTCAGCCCACCAGGGGGCGGGGCTGGCTGGCATGTGGTGCTGGGGGATTGAACCTCGGTCCCTGTGCTTTGCTGAGTTTGTTCTAAGTAGGTGCTTTAGACCACTGAGCCATCTCACCAGCCCTGATGAATACACTTTGTTTGATTGCAAAGAGTCTGCCCTTCATTTTGTGTGGAGACACTGTATTGGTGCTGAAAAAGAAAGAAGTCTTACACCTCTTCCAAGAAGAATAAGCATAAGAGAAAGGTTAAGGGCTGGCTCAGTAGGCGCAAGGGCCTGAGTTCAATCCCCGGTTCTGCCTAAATAAATAAATAAATAAATAAAAGAGAAAGGTTAAGCTGGCTGTCCTGAAATGGCCAAATTAGTAGTCTTCATTGAGAGTACCCTGCAGTGCTGGAGTTTCATGGCCAACTGCATGGCCAGTGTTGTCTGACTTACTACTTCAACACTCTAGAAGACAAGTACAGTAATTATATGAAGACTAACTACGGCAAAAAAATTAATTAAAATTAACATTTAAAATTTCAGTTTCTGGGCTGGGGATATAGCTCAGTGGCATAAGTGCCTGCCTGGCAAGTGCAAGGTCCTGAGCTTGATTCTGAGTACCAAAAAAATAAAAGAAAAAATTACAGTTTTTGCCAGATATGGTGACACGTGCCTGTAATTGCAGCACTTAGGATACAGAAGCGGGAAGATCGATTTAAGTTCAAGGCCAACCTGGGCTACATAAGTGACACCAAGGCCTGCCTGAGTTACTAGCAAGATCCTGTCTCAAACCCAAAACAAATAAATATAAAATTCTGGTTTCTCAGATGCAGTAATCACATTTCAAATGCATAGTTGCCACATGTGGCTATTGCATTGTGTAAGCAGTTATAGTACATGTGTTATTAACAAAAATTCCCTGTTGGACAGTGTTGCTATATAACATCATTGGCAGGTGCTCAAAAGTACAATATTAGGGTTAGAGGGAATCTTCATAGTCTGTTTCATGCTTGTTTTTTTAATCAGGGTCTGACTACATGGATCAGGCTGGCCTCTTAGTAGCCTGGGCTGAACTCTTCTGATCTTTTTTCCCTCAGCTTTAGAATCATGAGCCACTATGCCTGGCCCTGCAGTCACTAATTGGGCCAGCTTTCCTTGGCATATCCCTGTAAATCTTCATCAAACCCATATTTAAACATCTGGAGTAGTGGTGAACTCTGCCTCCTTTAACTGTAGAGAAATTTGTCCTCACAAAGTGGTCTAGTTTTTAAAAGTTACCTTTCAGAACCTAAGTTGGTGTTTGCCTTGAGATAGAAGGGGAAAGGGAAATGATTTTTATTTATTTTATTTTATTTTATTTTTATTTATTTGAGAGAGAGAGAGAGAGAGAGAGAGTGGTGTGTGTGTGTGTGTGGCCAGCTCAGCCCACCAGGGGGCGGGGCTGGCTGGCATGTGGTGCTGGGGGATTGAACTGCGGTCCCTGATGCTTTGCCAAGCTTGTTCTAAGTAGGTGCCTTAGACCACTGAGCCATCTCTCCAGCCCGGGAAAGGGAAATGAAAAACTGCTTAATGAGTAGGGGGCTTTAGTTTTTGGAGTAATGAAAATGTCTTGGAACTTCCTAAGTATGGTTGCATAACTTTGTGACCATATATGCCAAATCCGTTCACTTTAAAATGGTTAATTTCCCTTCCCTAAGAAGTATTAAAAAAAAAAAAAAAAAAAGGTTAATTTGACGGGCATGGTGGTGTATGCCTGTGCTCCCAGCATTCTGGGAAGCTGAGGCATGAGGATTACCCCAAGTTCCAGGCCAGCCTGAACTACATATGAGACCATTTCAGAGGAAAACAAAAGGTTAATTTTAAGGGCTATGGGGATAGCTTAGTGGTAGAGTGCTTGCCCAGCATGCCTGAGACCCTGTGTTCAGTCCCCACTGCCACAAAACAGAATCAAATGGTTAATTCTATGTTAGGTAAGTCTCAGCTTAATAAATTATTATTTGTAGGGCTGGGGATCAAACTCAGGACATTGCACATGCTAAGCAATTATTATACTACTGAGCTACACTGCCAAACTAGTGTGTGTGTGTGTGTGTGTGTGTGTGTGTGTGTGTGTGTGTTTTGTCTCCTTATAACCCAAAGATCCTAGCTCTGGAACCATATCCTTTCTAATTGCTCTTGCACATACATGATACACCTTTGAATAATAATTTCTTGAGATTTTGGTAATAAAATTTAAAGTCATAAAATATGTTACAGTTAGAAAAAATGACTGCCTATTCATTTTTTGTAGCCAAGTATAGGGGTATACATCTGTACTTCTAGCACTCTTGGGAGCCTACAGCAGGAGGATTGCTGTGAGTTTGAGGCCCCAGTTGGCCTACATAGTGAATTCAACATGAGCCTGAACTATATCATGAGACCCTGTCTCAAAAAAAAGTGCAGAGATTACAGGTGTGCTTGGGTTACAGGTGTGTGCCACTATACCTGGCTAAACCTGTATTTAAGAAGGATCAAGAAGCCAGTTGCATTGGCACATGCCTACCTATAATCCCAGCTGCTTGGGAGGTTGAGGCACAGTGGTCACAGGTTCCACATCAACTTGTGAAACTCAGCAAGTTCTTGTCTGAAAACAAAAAGTTGGAATGAAGGAATAGAATATAATTTAGCACTCCCTGGGTTCAATCTTCATTACCACTACAAGGAAAAAAAAAGAAAAAAGGATTTAAGAATGTGCTTGAACTTAACATTTGAATGGCCTTACATGTTAATCACTTTGTTAAAGTTACTTTTATTGGGTAAGCCCTTTAGTCTCCTGAGCCTCAAACTCCTCTACTAACTTACCAGAATCAACTGCAATTTGTTTCTTTTTTTTTCTCTTCCTTTTTTTTTTTTTTTTTTTTTTTTTACTAGGAATCACACTTGCCAGGCAGGCCCTGTCCCCACTGAGCTACATCCCCAGTTTTAGTTTTTATTTATTTTATATTTTGGAGAATGGTCTGTGGGGTGTTCAGGGTCTCACTACTAGATCAGACTCATAGTGATCCGCCTGCTTACAGCCTCCCAAGAGCTGGGATAACAGGTGCACACCACCACAGCCCGTCTCAATTGCTATCTCAGCATGCCATGGGGGTGGTCCTAGCACGACAGGCCCGGTAATCAAACCCCCAACCCCTGCCTGTAGTTTTGTTTAAACCCAAGGCCTTCACACTGAATTACATCAGTAGTGTGTGTATGCTTCCCCCCTCCTCTTTTATAAATTTAGAGAGAAGGTCTTGCTAAGTTGTCCACACTAGGCATATGCTAGGAATGAACTTGGGGTCTTCCTGCCTCAGCCTGCCAGAGTGCCAGCGCTATTGGCATGTGCTACCATGCTGCCTGTGGAGCTTAATGAAAAGATTGTTGAGGTTATAATGTGACTTAGTGGTAGAGTGCTCACCTAACATTTGCAAGTCTGTGTTCTGTCATCAGTACTACAAAACAAAAGACTCCTTGCTGCAGAATGAAATAAAAATGTGCATCTTACTAAGTTTGAAGATAATTATAATTACGTTGCATTTCTGTGATTAAACGTGGGTCTAGCTCAGGGACAGTGAACATTTTGGAGCTTGCAGTGGTAACAGTCAGCTTGGCTGTGGCACATAGATTTGCTACTACTACTAGATTTGCTACTAGTCTAGTGATGTCCAAAGATGTAAGTAGCTCTCATACTTTGAATGTACTGTTTCCTGATTCAGACTGGATCCTGTAGATGAACTTTAAGCTTTTGCTTATCCTTTGTAAAATGAGCACTGGGTATGGGCTTCATATTGTTACGGCATTAGAATTGTTTTTCTGTATGTAGATTGAGTAGCACACTTGGATATTTGTTGCTCCTCCTAACTCTGGCTTTTATATATCTCAAGGGCCTTTGGTATAAAGTTATTAATCCTGAACCTTAGAATTGGAATGTGTCATGTAAATTAGATTTATCTTTTGGCCAGGTTCCTCCTGGATGAAGAAGGACCAGCCCAGCTTTACCCTTCGACAAGTTGGAATAATATGTGAGAGGCTCCTAAAAGACTATGAAGATAAAATTCGAGAGGAGTATGAGCAAATCCTTAATACCAAATTAGCAGGTAGGCTGAGACAATGATTATGCTATTGTTACTAAGATTCAGTAACAACTAATTTAGAAAAGTGGAGGGTGTTATGCAAGACAACTCATTGAGTTGTGAATTTTACTCTTTGGTAGTGATAAACATGTCATTTATATATTAGATGTTAGAATTCTTCATTTGCATTTCTGAAAGATAAAGCAGGCTCTTCATATAAGCATTTTCCACATAAATAAAAGCATTGATTTTAAAAAAAGGACATAAAAAAGGATAAGTGTGTTGGCACAGGCCTATAATCCCAGTATTCAGAAGGTTGAGATAGGAGGGTTGTTAAAAGTTCCAGGCCAGTCCTACGCTAACTCCTTAGCCAGACCTTATGTTAAAGAAAAACCGAAACAGAAAAATGGTTATGTGAAAATCCACATTAATAAATTCTATTAGATTAGAGGAGTCCTCTTAATATAAATAACCAATTTCCCTTTAAGATCCTTTAACCAGCCAGGCAAGGTCACATACCTATAATCCTAATGCCGGGGAGACTGAGGCAAAATGATGACTGTGGGTTCATGGGCAGTCTGAGCCACATAGTGAGACCTGGACTCCAAAACTATAGTTTGGAAAAAAAGAAAGCATTGAGTACACTGCTCAGGCTAGCTATCTGTTAAACAGGTGGGTTATGGTACTAACCTCCCAGCAGGTATTAGAATACAGTATTGTCAATATCCCACTTTTTGGATATGGCAGTATCCTGTGATTTGTAGGATGCCTCAGAATAAAAAAAAAAAAAAAGACCTTGTTCACAATAAAACAAAAGATTTTTTTAAATTTTAATTTTATTGAGAAATATGAATGAGACAGTTTCAAAGCTGAATAATAGCACAGTTTCGATAATCAATGCATTGTACATTGTTGTCGTCTTAGTGGTTATCCATAGTACAAGAAGCAGGTGGGATATCCTGTCCAAACACAATTAGTACACCTCTTTCTGCTCATTGAATTAAGCGAAAGTAGCTGTATATCTGTTGTATTTAAAACAAAGATACTTGATTAGTGGAAGCCCATAAGTAGAGCCTCCTATCAAAGGAAGGGATCTTAGGAATAAAAAGTAGTGTATGTTTAGCGAAAGAGGACGTTATTGGGATGAGAGAGGTTTTAGGCAGTCACTTCAAATTAGATTCCCTTATAAAATTAATTGGGTCCTTTAATAGATTCTTTATATTCTAAGAAGTTATTCTGTAATAAATACTTTATTTCTTCTGTCAGGTGGCTCTGAGTCACTCCTTTCCACAGATGTGAGACTGCATTTTCCCTTTCCGCTGACTTTCTAACTCCAGAGTGACCTCTCTGTAGCGCTTCCACAAGTACATCATACAGAGTTTCTCATGACTTTCTGGGCATCCTGCTACTTCTGTTTGTGTTTTTCAATGTGTGTATTGAAATTTACAGTAAAGAAAGAAATGTAAAACTTCATGTCCCCCAGGAGATATATGACAATTTCTTGATCTGTAGTTGTGAGTGTATATTTCAGTAGGAAATAGAGTTACAGCAGAGGAGAGATGGTTATTAGGAAAATACTGTTACAGGTCAGTGGCTAACTGTAAAAAGCAGGGGCCGGGAAGATGGCCCAATAGAATAAAGTGCTTCCCTGGAAGCACAGGGACCTGAGTTGTAAAATAAACAGTTCTCAGTAACCTTTAAAAGGACAGCTTGAGCTGGGCATGGCAGCACATGGCTGTAGTCCCACCACGTAGGAAGCTGAGGCAGGAGGATTGCCCTAAGTTTGAAGTCATCCTGAACTATAGAGTGAGACCATTTCAAAAGAGGAAAAGAAAAAAGAAAGAAAGCAGGCCAGGGAGATGGCCAGTGGCTCAACTGCCTGTCTGAAGTCCTAAGTTTCATCTCCAGTACCACAAAGAAAAAAAGAAATACAGACAAAAAAGGAAGGTCTGAGAGAGGGAATTCAGAACGGAAAGGTACATGTGAACCTGATGGTCAGTTCTAGAAAACTTGGGGATGGAGAGACAAATTTCTTTGATAAATATATATTGTTTTTCTACCCTCACAGAGCAGTATGAGTCTTTTGTGAAATTCACACATGATCAAATTATGGGGCGATATGGGACAAGGCCAACAAGCTGTAAGTATATCAACTTTTGTTTGTTTGATTTTCTAAGTTCTAAGAGCAAGATTTTTTTTTTTCCTTAATTGAATACAAGGTCTCACTATGCAATTCGGACTCCTGGTGATCCTGTCTCAGCCTCCCCAGTGCTGGGATTACAGATGTGTGCCACTATGCTCAGTTTTGGGACCAACACAGCATGCCCACGGTTCTAGGGCTGGCATGGCATGTACCAGGGATTGAACCCAGGTCCTTGCGCTTGCCAGGCAGGCACTTAGACTGTTGAGCTGTCTCCCCAGCCCAAAGAGCATGATTTTGATAAGGGATATCCTTGTCTCCTGGGAATAAAAGGCCCCTGTGAAGTACAGTAATAGCTAAAGAACACTTAGCTGCCTTGCACTCACCTAAATACCTAAATCCTCACCATATTACCCTGATAGTAACTATGAGGGAGGAACTATTAGTGCCATTTTATAGGTAAGGGTAACTCTTAGAAAGGTTGAATAATTTGCCTAAGTCACATAACTAGAGCTTTAACCAGCATTGAAATCTAAGGTAGTCTTGACACTAGCACCAGCTGTTTGGTTGCCTGTATTTTCTATAGAAATTGGTTCTAGTCATTACTTAATGAAAGTGGGAAGCTAGGCATGGTGGCTCCTGTCCGTAAGCCCAGCAATTGGGAGGCTGAGGCAGGAGGATCACCATGAGTTGGAGGCCACCCTGAACTACATAGTGAGACCCTGTCTTGGAAGAGGAAAAAAAAAAAAAAATCAAAAAAGTTGATTCCTTCAGCTAACTGACCATTTCTTAAATCTGGGGGCTAGGGATTTAACCCAGTGGCACAGCCCTGCCTAGCAAGCACAAGGTCCTGAGTTTGATTCCTGGTACCAAAAGAGAGAATTTCTTTTTTTTTCTTTTTTTAATGTATTTTATTTTTTAAAGAATAAAAATAGCAATAAGAAAAATAGTAACAGAAATGATACAAAATTTCACTGAACAAAGTAATAGGAATTCAACAATGGTTGCTGTATTGCATGATGTTATCTTCACATTAATTGTTTAGGTAATTAGATACAACCATGCAAAATTGGTTTAAAACAAAACAAACACCAAAAAAGTTATAAGAAATAAAATAATAATAGGGCTGGTGAGATGGCTCAGTGGTCTAAAGCACCTACTTAGAACAAGCTAAGCTAAGCAAAAGCACAGGGACCGCAGTTCAATCCCCCAGCACCACATGCCAGCCAGCCCCGCCCCCTGGTGGGCTGAACTGGCCACACAATCAATCAATCAATCAATCAATCAATAAATTTTTTTAAAAAAGAATGATAAAAATTAAGCATTAACTGCTTCTTTCAAAAGACCAGCAGACATTAGCAGTAAAATTATCCAAATTATCTGCATATATACATAGATATATCTTTTCCACTTCTTTCTTTTGAGCTTTTCCTCATTACTGTTCCAGGTACACTTTTGATATTTAAATTTCTTCTTTCTTTATCTTTTGTGGTAATGGGGATTGAACTAAATTTCTTCTTTAAAAATAAATGGTCCTTTATTTATATTATATTCTGCCTTTTTTGTTATGTTTTGTCAGAAACAGGTGTTCCATTACTGAAAGAGAAGCTGTATTTGGAGGAGAGAATTTCTTAAATCTAAATATTTTACAGCTACCAGTTTCTGAAAGCATAAATTATAAATAACCAAATAGCTAACAACTCTGACCAGGTTTATTGTTAGTGACTTGATAAAGCATGACACTACATTTTTGTATTATTCTTACCCTCTTTTGTATTTTATTTCTAATTTGCAGACGTATCCTGAAGCTTTCCTGCATATCTGGGTACCGGGTTTGACCTCAAGAGATGGCTGCTGTACACTTTTTGCAACTGGTTTGATATCACATTT